TATGTACACTGAAATTTGTTACTATTATTATTATTTTTTGAGACGGAGTCTCACGCTATTGCCCAGGTTGTAGTGCAATGGCGCACTCTCGGCTCAGTGCAGCCTCCACCTCCCAGGTTCATGCGATTCTCCTGCCTCAGCCTCCCGAGTCGCTGGGATTACGGGCATGCACCACCACGCCTGGCTAATTTTTGCATTTTTAGTAGAGACAGGGTTTCACCAATGTTGGCCAGGCTGGTCTCAAACTCCTGACCTCGTGATCCGCCTGCCTCGACCTCCCAAAGTGCTGGGATTATAGGCATGAGCCACCATGCCTGGCTTATGCACACTAAAATTTGAATTGCATTTTTTTATTTTTGAGACAAGGTCTCGCTCTGTTGCTTTGGCTGCGTAGTGCATTGGCATGATCTCGGCTCACCGCAGTCTCAACTCCCTGGGCTCAAGAACTTCTTTCACCTCAGCCTCCTGAGTAGCTGGGACTACAGGCATGCACTGCCACGCCTGGCTAATTTTAAACATTTTTTGTAGAGATGGAGTCTTGCTATGTTGCCCCAGCTGGTCTCCAACTCCTGGGCTCAAGCAATCCTCCTGCCTCAGCCTCCCAAAGAGCCGGGATTACAGGTGTGAGCCACCATATCCAGCCTAGTATATCATTTTCATGTGAAGAAACAGTATTCTTCAGCCCGGTGCAGTGGCTCACGCTTGTAATCCCAGCACTTTGGGAGGCCAAGGCGGCCGAATCACTTGAGGTCCAGAGTTTGAGACCAGCCTGGCCAACACAATGAAACCCCAACTCTACTAAAAACACACAAATTAGCTGGGCGTGGTGGCAGGTGCCTGTAATCCCAGCTACTCGGGAGGCTGAGGCAGAAAAATTGCTTGAACCCAGGAGGCGGAGGTTGCAGTGAGCCAGGATCGCACCACTGCACTCCAGCCTGGGCGACAGACTCTGACTCAAAAAAAAAAAAAAAAAAAGAAAGAAACAGTATTCTTCTTTCAATTAAAAATGCAAAGGCCACCCGGGCACGGTGGCTCATGCCTGTAATCCCAGCACTCTGGGAGGCCAAGGCAGGCAGATCGCTTGAGCTCAGGAGTTTGAAACCAGCTTGGGCAACATGGTGAAACCCCATCTCGACCCAAATAAATACAAAATAAAATTAGCTGGGCATGGTGGCATGCACCTGTAGTCTCAGCTATTTGGAAAACTGTGGTGGGAGGATCGCTTGAACCTGGGAGATGGAGGTTGCAGTGAGCTGAGATCAAGCCACCGCACTCCAGCCTGGAAAACAGAAGTCATCAAAAAAAAAGTTAAAAGAAAAACACACACAAAAACCATCTTTAACTAAAGACCTATGTGAGCAGGCAGTGAGCTGGGTCTGGCCCGACGATGATGATTTACCAAGCCCGGCTCTAGAAGCGAGTGCTGCCAGTGGCCAAAGCTGCCCCACAGCCCCCTTCTCACTCTACCCCGTTCTCAAGACTGGCTCTCCTCTCCCTGGCCAGCCGGGATCTGCTCGAAACCACCCTCAGAGCCTCCTGAGAACCTCATCCTTCCTGGCAAACTGTTGCCAGACTTTGGAAGCCTGATTCTGGCTGTCTAGGGGCCTTAGTGCCTGAGGCTAGGGTGGGCGGGACACTCACCCTCCTGGGGGGCAGGGTAGGAAGCCAGGGTCTCGGGGCTCTGGAAGAAGACAGAGGAGGGGCAGGACTGAGTCCCCCTGCTTGGTTCCAGGCAGTCCAGGACACCTGGAGGGTGGGGCGGGCACTACCTGGGCACCAGCGGGTGGCTCTTCAGGTGCGACTAGAGGCACCGTCTCCAGCCAGGGTTCTGGGGAACTGCTTGAGCTCCTGCTGCCCCCCTGCTCAGCAGAGGCCCCCTCCACCCATTCTGGGGAGTCAGAATCCTCATCTGGGTCCTCAGGGGGCTGCAACAGTCGGGGGGCAGGCTCTAGAGGCTCTTCAGGACCAGGCTGGGAAGGTGAGCATTCCTCGCAGTGCAAGAGGCTCAGCAGGTCATCCCGGCCAGCTTCAGCAGACAGCAGCCCGTGGGCGTCGGCGATCTCCTGGGAGGCCAGGCCGTGGCCTGTGGCAATGTGTAGGGGACAGGGGGTTCCATCTGGGGATGGGCCTACCAGATCACCCGGCAGAGCTTCAAACTGCTGCACCAGCTCCTGAATGCTTGACTCATCAAGTTCCATCCGACTCAGGCTGCCGGGGCCTCCTGGCACAGGGTCCCACTGGCTGTGAGGGGTGAGGTCCTCAGAGGGCACAAGAATGTCCCTAGGCTCCTCCAAGTCCATGGCTGGAAGCCCCGAAGAGGATCGGGAAATTGTGGGGAAGTCCATGCCTGGACTCCAGGCTTAGGCTAGCATCTTCAAGCAGCTGAAAGACAGAGAGTCAGCGCTGAGGTTTCACCCGGGTACAGTGGTTCATGCCTGTAATCCCAGCACTTTGGGAGGCCAAGAAGGGCTGACTGAACCCAGGAGTTCAAGATCAGCCTGGGCAACAGAACAAGACCCTATCTCTACAAAAAATACAAAAAAAATTAAGGCAGGGCACAGTGGCTCATGCCTGTAATCCCAGCACCTTGGGAGGCCAAGGCGGATGGATCACAAGGAGTTCGAGACCAGCCTGACCAACATGGTGAAATTCCGTCTCTACTAAAAATACAAAAAATTAGCCAGGTGTGGTGGCGGACGTCTGTAATCCCAGCTACTCAAGAGGCTGAGGCAAGAGAATTGCTTGAACCCGGGAGGTGAAGGTTGCAGTGAGCTGAGATCGCGCCATTGCACTCCAGGTTGGGCGACAGAGCGAGACTCTGTCTCCAAAAAAAAAAAAAAAAAAAAATTAGCTAGGGGTGGTGGTGTATGCCCGTAGTCCCAGCTACTTGAGAGGCTGAGGTGGGAGGATCACTTGAGCCAGGGGAGGCAGAGGCTGCAGTGAGCCTTGATTGTGCCACTGCACTCCAGTCTGGGCGACAGAGTGAGGCCCTGTCTTAAAAAAACAAAAAACCCAAAAACCATAAAACCTGACGTTTCCTGGGTGCCTATCCGGTGCTAGGCTCTAGCGGGTACTGTTCACACAGGGTACGTAATTTAATCCCCGACAACCCTTACAAGGAGTTAGGATTCCCATTTTACAGATGAAGAAACTGAGGCGCAGAATGGGGAGGTGTGAGGCAGTGGCTTCCCGAGCCCCTGTATATGTCATCCCAGACCTCTCCCAACTAATGACGTCTGCTCACTCCAGCCCTGGTTCTTCCAAGTCCTCCTCCCTCGAGACGCGGAACCCACAATGGAGACCCAGACCTCACACCCTAACTCTACAGACTCGTCAGAAGCAGGTCCCCAAGACCCCAGACCCAAGACCTCAGTCCCATGACCTCAACCCCCAATACCTCCATCCAGAACTTTAGACCCAGGACCCTGGACTTAATACCAGAGACCCAAGACGCCATAAAGCAGACCCGAGTCTCCAAATCTCCAATGTTACCCCAAGATCGACTCCAGACTGAGACCCCGACTTCAGGACCCAGCCCCAAACCCAGACTCCAGTCCGCCCTCAGACCGAAGACCTCAAGCGCCGACTCAGACCCCACTCTGCACCTCGAGGACACTCACTTCCCAAATCGAGGCCGCCTCAGCCCCGCGCAGCCTCCAGGACCCCGCGCCCCCAGTACGACCCCGACATAGCCCAGACCGCGCCCCCAGAAGACGCACCTCGGAGATTCCCGGTCCCAGCGCTGGCTCCTCCATCCGCACAGCGCCCTGGCCCACTGAGCATGCGCGGCCTCGCGATGCCTGCTGGGAAATGTAGTTCTCTCAGCCAGCCTCGCCACGAAGGGGCGCTGGGACTCCTGGAGGTGTTGGAGCCGGGGTTCGAATCCCATGCTTCCCTGCCCGCAGGCAGCCCGGGCTGGCCCCAGGACCTGTTTCTTCCCCTGCAAAATAGGGTTAATAATCACTGCCTGGCTCCGGGGGCCGTGTTCATTATTCCAAAGGATGGCAGATGGGGAGAAGTGGGGTTGGGAAATATTAAAGAAGTGTGAGACCTTGAGGCACTGGAAGCGACATGGGAACCCTGTTGAAGACGGACTTCCGGTTTGGCTCACAGTAGGGAGACAGGTTGGTGCACCCTGGATTTGCGGTCGGCCTGGGAACTTTACCTCCCTGAGTCTCAGTTTCCTCACTAATAAACTGGGGAAAAAAAATAGTACCTACCTCCTAATTATGAGGATTAAATTAGATCGAGTGGGTTAAGGATTTAGCAGTAGGGCTGGAAAAGAATATATAAAATACATATTATTAATTTGTATATTATATATAATACATACTATGTGTTATATATATATAAAATATATAATAATGTTAAAAATATGATGTTACACAAATTAACAGTGATTAGACTCCAGGCCTACTGGGGTATATTAGACTCATTGTTATTTTTTATTTATTTTTTTTTTTGAGACGGAGTCTCGCTCTGCCGCCCAGGCTGGAGTGCAGTGGCCGGATCTCAGCTCACTGCAAGCTCCGCCTCCCGGGTTCACGCCATTCTCCTGCCTCAGCCTCCCGAGTACCTGGGACTACAGGCGCCGCCACCTCGCCCGGCTAGTTTTTTGTATTTTTAAAGTAGAGACGGGGTTTCACCGTGTCAGCCAGGATGGTCTCGATCTCCTGAGCTCGTGATCCGCCCGTCTCGGCATCCCAAAGTGCTGGGATTACAGGCTTGAGCCACCGCGCCCGGCCTAGACTCATTGTTAATCTCTTTAAAGCTTTGAATAATTACTCATTGGATGGAATCGGGAACATATAAAGTGTGATATTTTTAGTAAATGTTATGTAATTGAAGAAGGGCAAGAAGAAGTCAATGAAATAGCCCTTGAACGCCTCCTTCTACAGTAACTACGTATGTCTACAAGTCTAAAGAAATCACCATAGAGTATGAGAACTTGGGAGACTACATTTCCCAGACACCTTCACGGGGCCTACAACTCCCGAGCACCCCTTGGACCACTGACGTCTTCCGGAAACGTGCACGTGCAAGCTGCCCGCAATACGTCATGGCGACCAGACGCCTTTTAGGGGCTGCCCGGATATGGGCCGGCTGGGGGACCCGGGAGCTCCTAGACCCCGCCTCTCCTAGAAGGCTCCTGGTCCGGGATTATGCTAAGAAACCAGGTGAGCTGGGTTAACAGGAACCAAATGAGGACGGTGGGTACTCTGAGGAATTGGCAGTGCGCAGGCGCTGGTTGGGGAGGCGGTGGTAGAACTAATGCGCAAACGCAGAGAGGCGGATGCCAGGCTGTAGGCGCAGGCGCAGTTTGAGGGACCCAGCGCCGCTTGGAGCTCGGGCGTCTGGCTTGGAGATAACCTTAGCGATTGGACGGAGGGCGCAGGCGCCAGCTGGGGAGAGGCCTGGGAGGAGGGTGTGGGTTACGTGGAGCCCACGCGTTTCACTGCGCAGGAACGGGTTGGAAGGGATTTGCCGGGAGTCTGGGGAGGTCATGAACTTGGGTTCCAGTCCTGTTTCTCTGCCTGCCTCCAAATCGCAGGGTGACCTTGGCCAAGCCGTTACCAAAAATTCAAAGAAACTATGGAGCCTATTTAAATCTTAGCCACTTCAGCAAGAACAAACCAAGGTTATTAAGGTTTAGCTGGATACAGCCTTGCCTGATCTCCTTTGTTGAAAGGGGAAAATTGGCAAATGTTCGGCCTTAAAGACAGACACATAGCAGACAATATAACTTGAATGACTTGGTCATTCCAAGCATCGGTGTTACTTAATGCTATGTCTAAATCCCACTTAAAGTGATTTTGAGGCCAGGCATGGTGGCTCACATCTTTATTCCCAGCACTTTGGGAGGCCAAGGAGGCATGATCGATCGCTTGAACCCAGGAGTACGAGACCAGCCTGGGCCACATAGCAGGACCCTGTTTGTATAAAAAATAAGTGCCTGGCACGGTAGCTCACGCCTGTAATCCCAGCACTTTGAGAGGCTGAGGCAGGTGCATCACTCGAGGTCAGGAGTTCGAGACCAGCCTGGCCAACACGGTGAAACCTCTACTAAAAGTACAAAAAATTAGCCGGACGTGGCAGCTCGTGCCTGTAATCCCAGCTACTCGGGAGGCTGAGACAGGAGAATCGCTTAAACCCGGGAGGCGGAGGTTGCCGTGAGCCAAGATCGCACCACTGCACTCCAGCCTGGGCGACCCAGTGACACTCCGTCTCAAAAATAAATTTAAAAAGAATAAAAATAAGTGGGGCATGGTGGCTCACACCTGTGATCTCAGCTACTGGGGAGGCAGAGGCAGGAAGATCGCTTGAGCCTGGGAGTTTGAGGCTGCAGTGAACCATGATTGTGCCCCTGCACTCCAACCTGGGCTGCCTTTATTTTTAAATTTTTTTAGATTTTTTTTTTTTTTTTTTGAGATGGAGTCTTGCTCTGTTACCCAGGCTGGAGTGCAGTGATGTGATCTCGGCTCACTGCAAGCTCCGCCTCCTGGGTTCAAGCGATTGTCCTACCTCAGCCTCCCGAGTAGCTGGGATCACAGGCATGCGCCACTATGCCCAGCTAATTTTTTTTTTTTTAGTAGAGATGGGGTTTCACCATGTTGGCCAGGCTAGTCTTAAACTCACCTGACCTCAAGTGATCTGCCCACCTCGGCCTCCCATAGTGCTGAGATTACAGGCGTGAGCCACTATGCCTGGCCGAGACCCTGTCTTTAAAAAAAAGTTTTGAGTGGCCGAACGTGGTGGTTCACGCCTGTAATCCCAGCACTTTGGGAGGCCGAGGTGGGCAGATCACGAGGTCGGGAGATCGAGACCATCCTGGCTAACACAGTGAAACCCCGTCTCTACTAAAAATACAGAAAAATTAGCCGGGCGAGGTGGCGGGCGCCTGTAGTCCCAGCTACTCGGGAAGCTGAGGCAGGAGAATGGCGTGAACCTGGGAGGCAGAGCTTGCAGTGAGCCAAGATCATGCCATTGCACTCCAGCGTAGGCAACAGAGTGAGACTCCATCTCAAAAAAAAAAAAAAAAAGTTTTTAGTGTGGCAGAGTCCAGTGAGGGGCTGAGGCCACCTTGGCTTCCAGGGGAGGGACTGGGCTGAAATGACTCTCCCTCTCCTCCCCCCAGTTATGAAGGGGGGCAAATCCGGAAAAGGTGCAGTGCCCAGTGAGGCCCTCAAGGACCCCGACGTATGCACAGACCCTGTCCGGCTCACCACATACGCCATGGGCGTCAACATCTACAAGGAAGGGCAGGATGTACCCCTGAAACCGGATGCTGAGTACCCTGAATGGTGAGTGGACCAGGCTGTGTCATCCTGCACTGACTATTCCTTCCTCCGCCCCAGGAGGACCCCTTCTGGGAGAGGCGGATCCCCACTCCAGCCAGAGCCTAACAGTCATACCTACCCATCCTGGCTTCAGGGCAGGGGCTTCAGGGCTCTGCATCTGGGTGGTCTCATCTGTAACGGGGTGATGGGACCCATCCCTCCCTCCAAGGGCTGTGAGGAATTCATGAGATTAGAACGCCTGTCAAGTACCTAAAACGATGCTCTTTCTTCTTAAGCAAATACTTAAAAAGTTTTTTTTTTCAGGCTGGGCTCAGTGGCTCACGCCCATAATCCCAGCACTTTGGGAGGCCGAGGTGGTTGGATCACTTGAGGTCAGGAGTTCGAGACCAGCCTGGCCAACATGGTGAAACCCCGTCTCTACTAAAAGTATAAAATTGGCCGGGTGCAGTGGCTCACGCCTGTAATCCCAGCACTCTGGGAGGCCGAGGCGGGCAGATCACCAGGTCAGGAGATCGAGACCATCCTGGCTAACACAGTGAAACCCTATCTCTACTAAAAAAAGTACAAAAAGTTAGCCGGGAGTGGTGGTGGGCGCCTGTAGTCCCAGCTACTTGGGAGACTGAGGCAGAATGGCGTGAACCTGGGAGGCGGAACTTGCAGTGAGCCCAGATCGCACCACTGCACTCCAGCCTGGGCGACAGAGCGAAACTCTGTCTCTCTCTATATATAACATGTATATTTTATGTATTTTACATAGGTAATATATATTATATATATAAAAAATAGCTGGGTGTGGTGGCTCATGCCTGTAGTCCCAGTTACTTGGGAGGCTGAGGCACGAGAATTGCTTGAGCCTGGGAGGCGGACGTTGCAGTGAGCCAAGGTCACACCACTGCACTCCAGCCTGGGCGACAGAGTGAGATTTGGTCTCCAAAAAAAAAAAAAAAAAGTTTTTTTCTTTGAGATGGAGTCTCACTCTGTCACCCAGTCTGGAATGCAGTCACACGATCTCGGCTCACTGCAAACTCTGCCTCCTGGGTTCAGATGATTCTCCTGCCTCAGCCTTCAGAGTAGCTGGGACTACAGGCATGCGCCCCCATGCCTGGCTAATTTTGTGTGTGTGTGTGTTTGTTTTTGTTTTTTTTTTTTTTTTAGACAGAGTTTTGCTCTTATTGCCCTGGCTGGAGTGCAGTGGCATGATCTCAGCTCACTGCAACCTCTGCCTCCCAGGTTCAGACAATTCTCCTGCCTCAGCCTGCCGAGTAGCTGGGATTACAGGTGCCCGCCACCACACCCAGCTAATTTTTGTATTCTTAGTAGAGACGGGGTTTCCCCATGTTCTCCAGGCTAGTCTCGAACTCCTAACCTCGCGATCCACCTGCCCTGGCCTCCCAAAGTGCTGGGACTACAGGTGTGAGCCACCGCGCCCGGCCTGCAAATACTTATTGACCACTGACTGCCTGCCAGGCCCTTGCTCTAGGCTTCAGGATACAGAAGGGCTCAAAATAGACACAAGTCACCACTGGCAGAACTAGCTGGGGAGGCAGACGGGAAGCAGGAAGTCAGGCAGCTGTGGTGGCAACACTTCCGGGAAGGGGGCAGGAGAATGACAGAGCAGGGACATCTGGCTGCTCTGGTCTGAGGTTTGGGGGACACAGAAGCCAAGACGTGAGTGGGTGGAAGGGGTTTTTCAGGCAATGGACACAGCCTGTGTAAAGGCCCCGGGGCAGGACCGCACCTAGTGTGCTGGAGGAACAGCCGGGAGGCGTGTGTGGCTGGAGCAGAGTGAGGAGGGCGAGAGAGCGAGGAGGCGAGGACAGGGCCTGTGGGCTGCGGGAAGGGCTCTGCTGTGGCCCCAAGCTGATCTGCAGCCTGGGGAGGGTCAGGAAGTCTGAGCAAGTGGGGACAGGTGGCCTGGTGTGGACAGTACTGGGAGGCAGGAGAGGGCTTGGCATGTGCCAGCCTCAGATGTTGTGCCATTGGGGTGCAGTTGGCTGCACTGCTGCACGGCCAGGGACCCTCCCAGCCCAGGATCCGGGAAGGACCACCCCGAGATCATGGAGCTAACCAGTGGGCTTGGGACCCGGCCCTGTCGCCGCCTCTGCCCGAGGTGCCCAGGACACCAGGTGGCCCAGGGGGTCGCCGTGTAGCTCTGATTCCTGCCTGCGCCCTCGTCAGGCTGTTCGAGATGAACTTGGGCCCCCCAAAGACCCTGGAGGAGCTGGATCCTGAGACCCGGGAGTACTGGCGGCTGCTGCGGAAACAGAACATATGGCGCCACAACCGGCTGAGCAAGAACAAGAAGTTGTAGCGTGGTGGGCCCGCCCCCCGCCCCCGCCCCCCCCCAGGGCTTGCTGCGTAGCGTGGTGGGCTCCCCCCCACGCCCCCCACCCCGAGGGCTTGCCACGTAGCGTAGCGTGGTGGGCCCGGCACCCCCCACCCCCGCCCCCCCCCCCCCCCCAGGGCTTGCCGCGTAGCGTAGCGTGGTGGGCCCGGCACCCCCGCCCCCCCCCCCCCAGGGCTTGCCGCGTAGCGTAGTGTGGTGGGCCCGGCACCCCCGCCCCCCGGCCCCCGCCCCGAGGGCTTGCCGCGTAGCGTAGCGTGGTGGGCCCGGCACCCCCGACCCCCCCCCCGAGGGCTTGCCGCGTAGCGTAGCGTGGTGGGCCCGGCACCCCCGCCCCCCGACCCCCGCCCCGAGGGCTTGCCGCGTAGCGTAGCGTGGTGGGCCCGGCCTCCCCGCCCCCTGCCCCGAGGGCTTGCCGCGTAGCATGGTGGGCCCGGCCTCCCCCACGCCCACACTGAGGACTTGCCAGTTTCCCAGAGGACGCCGACTTTTGTGAGACAAAAGGCCTGGGTTTCCATGTGACCCCACAGTGGGGCTGGACTAGGGCCCTGAAGACCAATAAAAACCTTTCTGAGTAGACCCTGGTGCCCCTTGGTATTGTCTGGCGTCGGTCTGGTAGGAAGTGGGCCCTTCAGACCCCAGGGATCCCGGCCTCCACGCCAGCCACTGGCGGGCCGTCTGCAGGTCCCCTGTGCCTCTGGACCCTTGGTGGGCTTCTCTTCCCAAATCCTGGAGTTCCTGACACCGCCCACGAGGCCCGAGCCCCAAATCTCAAGCTGCTGGGTGAGGGGGTTGTCCTAGCTAAGCCGCTCTTGGTTGCAAGGGACTCAAACCTAACTCAAGCCGTCAGAGTCAGAAAAGAGGCTTTATGAGCTTCAAGAACAGAGATGTCCGGGGGGGTAGCGGTGTGGCTGCAGGTGTGGCTGGATCCAGGTGCTTCCATATTCAGACCCAAGGCCCTCTCCATCTCAGGGTCCTTGGATCCCCCAGGGGCTCGCACTCATGGGCAGGGTAGCCCCAGGGCTCCTGGCTGATGTCCTCACCAGCACAGCAAGTAGAATCAGAGGGAAGGGACTGCCCCTTCCTTCCTGCCACAGTCACAGCGTGGTCCTCGATGGCCTATCCCTGGAGCCCAGGGGCTTGGGCCTTCCTTCTCCACCCCCAAGTCCTCTGTCCACTCCACTGGAGCCCAGGTCTCAACCTCCGCCCCCAGTCCACCCTCTGGAGTCTGCTTTCAGCACCCTGACCCTGACCCACAGCCCGAGTGAGGACTGGCCTCCCTGCAGTCCCAACTCCTGCCCTGCCTGGCTGTGATGAGGAGCAATGGGGCGGGATCCTGAGGGCTGGAGCGCACCAGATTGGAGGAGGCGGGAGGGGGGACACCTAGTTAGGGAGTGATGGGGCCTCTTGGTGGGGGTAGATCACCTCATGGACCCCACATCCTGCAGAACCCCCAAAGGTCATGCCCTCATCCCCACCCTTGCCACAGCAGCCCCACCCATTCCTAGGTGGGTACCCTAGGGGCTTTGGGCTGGGCTCACCCACCCTCTGGCTTCCTCTGTCCACAAGCTGGAGGGGCGGGGTGAGGACCCGAGGCTAATTCTTCCCGTCCCAGGGAAACCCTAACCTTCATCCTCTTAGGGAACTCTGGAGTGGAGCGGATTACCACGCACCTGCTGTCCCCGGTGGCCTCCCTGGGCAGGCGGGGGTGTGAGCACGCCTTCTCTTGCACTCACAGCAGGTGGTGCCAGCCCTGTTCCCACCCTCCTGTTATTCCCCAAGGTTCTCAGGGCAAAAATCAAAGTTATAACAGCCACTGCCCTGCCTGGCCTCCCCGTCACCTCCCTCCTCCCCCTCCTCACTCTACTCCAGCCACACGGGCCTCCTTGCTATTCTGCCAATGCACCAGGCGCGGCCCTGCCCCAGGGCCTTTGCACGGCCTATGCCTCTGCCCAGCCCCCTCCTCCCCTAGACCACCTCCCTCCCGCCCCGGTCTCCACCTTCACGCCAACCTCCCCTCCTCCAGAACTCCCTGTTACAATTGCAGCCCCTGCCACGCTCCCCATTTGCCTTTCCTGGTTGGTTTTTCTCCCTATCCCTTATCACTGAAGTCTTATGCTTTAGGTTTGTTTTTTATTTATTTGTTTTGAGTCGGGGTCTGGCTCTGTTGCACAGGCTGGAATGCAGTGGTGTGATCACAGCTCAGCCTCGACCTTCTGGGCTCAAGCAATCCTCCTGCCTCAGCTTCTCGGGTCCCTGGGATGACAAGTGTGCACCACTACACCTGGCACGTTTTAAAAATGTTTGTGGAGACTGAGTCTTGCTATGTCACCCAGAGTGGTCTCAAGCAATCCTCCCACCTCAGCGTCCCAAAGCACTGGGATTACAGGCATGAGCCACCGCACCTGGCCTGGTTTAGGTTAAAAAGAAAAAAAAATCTTTCTTGTGCTTACTGCCGTGTCCCCAGTGCCTGGTGCACAGTGACATTGGCTGGGCGTTGGGCCACAAGACTAGTGTGTGAGGTGCCGCCTGGAGATGGGGTGCCCCGGTGATCTGGGAGTGATCTGGGGAGCCCGGGCTGGAGACGAGGAGGGTAGCTACTGCAGCTCCTGCCCTGGTGCCGCACTTCTGTCTCAGGGGGTGGCCCTGGCCAAGACTGTCCCATCCCATGGCTCAGGGCCCCTCCTGCTGCACTGGGCCAGCCATGCTTGCCAGTCACAGCGGGTTCTCAGCCCCGCGACAGCCTCCTTCCTCAGAGCTCTTGGGCAATGCAACTGGGTTGGACAGAGCAGACGCCAGCCGTGCCTCCGCAGGGCTGGAGGACATGCACGGGGCCTGGGGTCTGTGGGGACGCGAGGAACAGGGGCTGATGACGACACAGCCAGCACCAGCCCGCCTCCACACGAGGCCCCACCCTCCCTCCAGAACCTGCTGCCGTGCCTCGGATGGGGGGGCCGGTGATGGGTCTGAAAGGCAGCTTCACCCACTCCTAGCCGTGCAACCTTGGGGACCTGGCTTCCTGCCTGAGCCCCAGTTTCCCTCTCTGTAGAATGGGCTGACGGCTGTGCCCGAGGTCCAGGGCGCAACAGAGAGAGGAGCGCTCACGTGGTGGGTGCACCGTGAAAGGAGAGCAGGCTCGCGGGAGCTGCCGTTACTGTCATTTCGGGGGGACCGGGAGCCTGGAGAGCGGGCAGCTCTGCTGATGAGGAGTGGGAGCGGCAGAGAGATGTACACTGATCTTACAGAGTCAGCGGCCCCGCCACTCAGCCTCACAGCCCGGGAACCTCAGAGGCCCCCACACCCCATTAACAGACGGGAGACTGAGGCCCCAGGAGGGGAGGAGGGTCCCCGTCCCTGGCTAGGAATACTTGGGTCACCTCCTGCCTGACACTGGGGCCGGTCCGCTGCCAGCAGGACGGGTGGTGATCGGGTGGGGGACAGGATGGGGGCGGGGGACCCAGCAGCCTGTCTCTGGTCCCGCTCCCCAGTGATGGTGGCCTGGCCTGACCACGGTTGCTCCGTGACCTCAGCCTAGGCCAAGGCGTGGTGGCTGTCACCAGGGCACGTCTCCAGCTCTCAGGCTGAACCGAGGAGGGGGCCCAGGAGGGCAGCAGGCTCAGGCTGGCGGCCAAGCCCTGTCCAGAGCCTGTGCGTGTTCCTTGGCCAGCAGCCGCAGGGACGCCTCCTCCAGGGCGAAGCCGTCTGCGAAGGTAGGAGCAAAGGCATGAGGCCCGAAGGATGCTTGCAGCCCCGGGCCCGGGCCCAGGAGGCGGGGGAGGCCTGGCACGGCCGGCGGTCCAGGGCCCAACCAGGGCTCCAGGGGCAGCGACATGGCCGGGGGGCGGGCGAAGGGCAGCGCTGGGGCCTCAGGAAGTCTCGGGGCTGCCACGGCACCCGAGCCTGACTCCAGCCGCTCTTGGCGGCGCCACTTGGCCCGGCGGTTCTGGAACCACACCTGGAGGGTGTGAGAGGGAACGGGGGATGCTGTGAGCTCAGCTGCTCCCCGCCACTCCTTGGAGGTCCTCTGCACACCCCAGCCCTGGGGGTTCCGCCTCCCAGCTGACCCAACTCACACCTGCTGCTTTGCTGTTTCGTCCCAAGAAGATGAGGATCTCCGAAGCGTTCCCTAAGCCCAGGCTCCCCTCCAACTCCTCACTCCCCTCCTTGGTCTCCCTTGGCCCTTATCATTCAAGGCCTCCAAAGGCATCGTTACCCGCACCATTCTCTGCCTCCTCCTTCACCCACTTCACACCTGGCTCAAGGGAAACGCCTCCAACTTAACCCCTCCACGCCTTTGCACACACTGTTCAGGATGCCTAGAAAAATGCCCCCTTTCCTTCCCAGCTGGCACACTCCTACTCAAATGTCTTCGTTTTGTTTTGTTTTGTTTTTTGAGACGGAGTCTTGCTCTGTTGCCCAGGCTGGAGTGCAGTGGCCGGATCTCAGCTCACTGCAAGCTCCGCCTCCCGGGTTCCCACCATTCTCCTGCCTCAGCCTCCCGAGTAGCTGGGACTACAGGCATCCGCCACCTTGCCCGGCTAGTTTTTTTGTTTTTTTTTTTTAGTAGAGACGGGGTTTCACCGTGTTAGTCAGGATGCTCTCGATCTCCTGACCTCGTGAGCCGCCCGTCTCAGCCTCCCAAAGTGCTGGGATTACAGGCTTGAGCCACCGCGCCCGGCCCCAAATGTCAAAACCTCAGCTCCCACACCCCCTCCTCCAGGAAGCCTTCCTAGCTTCTCTTCTGCTCATGCGCCGGGAGGGTCAGGATCCTGCTTCGCCTCCCTCCACAGGCTGTGAAAGGTGTGTGTTTTGGGGGGTGCCCTCACCTGCACGCGCACCTCAGGTAGGTGCACCTTGGCCGCCAGCTCCTCACGGCTGTAGACATCCGGGTAGTGGGAGGCCTCGAACGCCCGCTCCAGCTGGTGCAGCTGGTAGGTGGTGAAGGTGGTGCGGTTCCTCCGGTGCTTCTTCTTGGGGGCCTCCTCGCCCGGCCCCAGACTCCCAC